GGAGCCTTCCACAGAGGACCTCTGAAAGACTCTATAAGGAACTCTATAAGGAGAACAACAGAGCCAAATACCTGGGCCCAGAGAGGCCTGCAGAGACTGATACTTCAAGGCCATAGAACCCTATTCAAAGGAAGCCCATTGGCTGCTCAGTTTCCAAGTGGGTTCCCTAGTAAGGGGTACAGGGGCTGTCTCTGACATGAATTCAGTGGCTGGCTCTTTGATCACCTCCCCCTGGGAGTGCAGCCTTGCCAGGCCACAGAAGAAGATGATACAACCAGCCTTAATGAGACCTGATAAGCTAGGGTTGGATAGAAGGGGAGGAGGTCCTCCCCTATCAGGGAACTAGGGAAGGGACATATGGAGAGAAGATGGAGGGTGGGTAGGACTGGGAGGAGACGAGGGAGGGGGCTGCAGCAGAGATTCAAAACAAATAAATTGTAATATATAAATAAATTAAATTTAAAAAAAAAAGAAAGAAAGAAAATGTACTGGGGTAGAGAAATGCCTCAGTAGCAGTTAAGAATGGTCTTACAGACAACCCACACTCCCAGTATCCACATCAGGCAATTCATAACCATCTGTAACTCCAGTTCCCAGGATTCAAATGTTCTTTGGACCCTGCAGGCACCTGCATTCATGTGGTGCACATAAAACTATACAGCTACACGCACAAGGGAAATAAATAAGTCTTGAGGCTAGGGAGATGTCTTATCAGTTATAGGGAGCCTGACACTTACACACTAGCTCACAACCATCTTTAGCTACAGTTCTCAGGGATCTAATGTCTTCTGAACTCTGCAGATACCAGGGCATGTGCATGGTGCACAACATACATTCAGTAAAAATACTAATAAACATAAATTAAATAAATCTGAATTCTTTTTTGATCACTAGAAGAAAATCTATCTACAGATTGAAAAGATTCATTCAAATTAGAAAAAAGGGAGGAAAGAAAAAGAAGTACTGTCTTAGGGTTTCTATTGCTATGCAAAGACATCACGTCCAAGGCAATTCTTTTTTTTTTTTTTTTACATTTTTTTTAATACTTTAAAAAATAATTTATTCACTTTATTTCTTGATTGTAGGCCCCTTTTTTCCCTTCCGCCCTTCCTCTTCTCCCCTTTTCGCCTTCCCTAGTCCACAGAAATGGGGACCCTTCCTCCCCTAGCATCTAACCCTAGCCTATCAAGTCTCATCAAGACTGCCTGTATCTTCTTCCTCTGTGGCCTGGTAAGGCCACCCCACCAGGGGGAAATGATTAACAAGCAGACAACAGTCCATGTCAGAAACAGTCCCTGCTCCCCTTACTAGGGAACCCACATGGAGACTAAGCTGCCTATCAACTACATCTGAGTAGGGGTTCTAGGTCCTCTCCATGCATGGTCCTTGGTTGGTACATCAGTCTCAGCAGGACCCCCTGGGCCTAGATTTTCTGACTCTGTTGTTCTCCTTGTGAAGCTCCTGTCTGCTCTGGGTTCTTCTATGACCCCACTCTTCCATAAGACCCCCTGTAGTCTGCCCAAAGTTTGACTGTGAGTCTTAGCATCTGCTTAGATCCCCTGTTAGATGAAGTCTTTCAGAGGACATCTGTGGTAGGCTCCTGTTTTGTTCCCTCTCTTCACTTGGTTCTGTTGTCTATTCTATTTGCCGTTCTGCATGAGAATTAGGGTATTCCATGTTATTTAGCTTCTTTAGGTCTGTGGGTTTTAGTATTTTATTCTGTATTATATGGTTATTATCCACTTATACGTGAATATATACCATGTATGTCTTTCTGGAACTCTTATAAAGGAAAACATTTAATTGGATTTGCTTGCATGATGGAAAACATGGTACCATGGTACCATGCAGCTGGACATGGTGCTGGATGGAGGAGCTGAGAGTTCTACATCTGGATCAGCAAGCAGCAGGAAACGAACTGTCTTCAGCTTCTGAGACCTCAAAGCACACCCTGTAGTAGTCATATAGTTCCTCCAACAAACCCACACCTACTCCAAGGCCTCTGGGGCCAGTTTTCTTTTTACTTTCAAATCACCACAGGCTTCTGTACACCCTAGTTGGTGGGGAGAGGATGACAAGCTTTTAGGAAAAAATAACAAGTACTTGTGAAGGAATGATAATCAAATCAAATTTCTTTGTTCAGTAATGGAAATTAGAAAATAGTGAGAAACATTTAGTGGTTAGTGGGGAGCAAAAGAAATGAAAATCTAACAAAGGAATGAATGAATGTCCTGAGTATACAAAGTAAATGTATTGGGTTATAAGATGACCCATAAAAGCCACCCTACTATTTGGATTGGTGCTGTGAAATGCTATAGTCAAGGAGACAGCTTGAACTAGAAGAAACATCTCTTCTCATGAAGTGAAGCTCAAGTGTAAATTGTCCATCCATTAAAGCAGCCAGAGTTCACAGAAAATGTTAAACCCCAAAATTATACTAAATTGATCCTAATTATTTTCCGTTGAGAAGTCAGGTATAATTCTGTTAGGCATGTCTTTATATTTTATTTGGTCTTTTACCTTTGAAGCTTTTACTAGTCCTTATTTATTCTGTACTGTTTGCTCTTGTAATTATTATGTGGTGAGGGGACTTTTCTCCTGGTCCAGTTTATTTAGTGTTCTATATGTTTCATATGCTTTTATAGCCATCTCTTTTTTAGGTTAGGAAAATTTTCCTTTTATGATTATATTGAAAATATTTCTGGGCCTTTGAGCTGTTATTTTTCTCCTTCCTCTATTTTATTATAGGAATAGGTTTGGTCTTTTCATCATAGTTTCTCAAACTTCTTGGATGTTTTATAGGTCAAGAATTCTTTATATTTAAATTTTCCTTTGACCAATATATCCATTTCTTTTATAATATCTTTAATGCCTGAGATTCTCTCTTGTATTCTCTTGTATTAGTGAATCTATAATAATGATGGCATAAGTTTGTCAAATTCTGTAGTTCCTGTTGGCATTTCTAAATTTTTCATTTCCAGGATTTCCTCAGTTTGTGTTTTCTTCATTGCTTCTATTTCCATTTTCAAGTCTTAAATGGTTCTATTTGTTCGTTGTTTTTTTCCTTGGTTTTCTTTGAGGGATTTATTCATTTCCTCCAATTGTTGGTGTTTTCCTGGCTTTATTATAGGGATTTATTCATTTCCTCTTTTAGGACTGCTATCTTCATATAGTTGGTTTAAGAAGCTTTTCTTTTGCTTCAGTTATGTCAGACCTACTGTGGTATGATAAGTGGTGACATATTGCCCTGGATGTATTGATTGTGTCCTTTTGCTGGTGTCAGGGCATCTGGGTTTGAGGTGATTATTGGTCTAGATGCTGATTTATGGACTTGTCTTGGTTGGGTGGGAGTTTTCTTGGTTTCTGTTTCCTCTCTGATTTTCAGAGAATGTGTCAGCTAAGTGTTTCCTGTTTTATTGGCATGCTTAGTTGGTATGTTCACAGGGCAGGGTAGGAGGAATTCTTGCTGGTATTGGAGGCCAGGGGACTGAGAGGTCAAGGGGAGATGGTCTGAGGATCCATATGAGTCATGGATACGGAGGAGTGGATGCTGTAACTGGTTGCAGTTCTGTTGTAGTACTAGGGCCTACAGACCTACCTCAGACCCTGAGAATTGAGTCTAGGGTAATAGAGCTGGGGAGGTCCACAGGCAACCTACCTTTTCTTCTGGCAAGCATTGCCTGTGGTTGGGCAGTGGGTGTCCGCCTGGTTTGAGGGCTAGGACACAGTGATGAGGTAGAAAGAGAAGGCCTGAGCCTAGATTTTTAATCTCAGTATCCTGGCAGATACAAACAAAAAGTGTTAGGTAGATGAATTATAGGCTTAAAAGGCTTTTATATTTAAAAAAAAAAAAAAAAAAAAAAAGAGGCAGCATTAGTCATGTCCTTCTATTGTTTTTATACATTCTCAGAAAGTAAATTTTACTAAAAAAAATATTTAGGTACCTGAAGAAACTCAACCCCAAGAACCAACCTAAATTATAAGTAACATGAAGAAATCAAAGTTTTCTCTCCAGAGTGTTGCTTCAGGTACAGACTTTAAAGCAGTGTGCTTATGTTGATAGAATTAACACCAAGGGAAAGCTTTTGGAAGGAACTGAAGACTGATAATGCAGACTTGAAATAGCATTCAGATACTTCTGTTAACAACAGAGTATAATCCCATTGATCCTGCCTAACTTCTTCATGGTTTCTCTTTTCTGGCAGCGTCCCATGTAACCCAGGCTGAACTTGAACTTATTATGTAGCTGAGGGTGACCCTGAACTCGACCCTCCTGGCTCCACTTCCCAAGTGTTAATATTAAGGCTGTAACACCAAACCCAGATTCTGCCTGAGAAATCCTAAAAGTAAATCCTAAAAGTAAAGCCAAAGTAATTTAACTGTCTTAAAAACAAAGCTCTAGAATATTTACAGAAATAGAAGACATTTAGCACTCAACAGTGCAAGGTTAACAATTTCTGGCATCCAGTCAAAGATTACCAGGCAGTAAAATAGTTCTAATGGGAAAAAATAAATTAATTAGAACAAATCCAAAACTGACATTTTGGTATTATCAGAGGGTGATAAGATGAATATGTATCAATGGGGGTGGGATAAATTATGATTCATCCACTCCCATAGACCATGCAGCAACCACTAGAAGGATGTACATGACTAGGGCTTCCCACATGGGGTTACTGTGTAGATTTTAAGAAAGAGGTGCATATAATGTCCTATTTTTATATAGTAAATCTAGGGAACGGAAAATGCTTCCATCAGCATCACATGCATATTTCTCTGCCTTTATATGGCTCCATTATCAAGAAGTTCAGTGTTCTTTCCTTATGTCATCTTCCCCCAGGCTGTCCATTTCTGTTGGTGGTAAGAAAGCCTGATCATCAGTGAAACCCAGGGCATTTCGGGCATAGAATTCTTCACCTTTTTTTCATCTTTGCAACGTTATATGTATAGTGCTGTGTCTGAGTTGGTTTGAACATTACTATTGATTTCTGGGTTTACAGACAATGAAGACCAGCCAGAGAAGCCTCACTTTGATAATCGCAGTGCAATATTTGAGCTGGATTCGTGCAATGGGAATGGGAAAGTTTGCCTTGTCTACAAAAATGGGAAACCTGGTAAAGATCATTTCCAAAGCATGGTCCTGCAATAAAGATGTGGTCTTTCCTGAACTTGTCTGTCAGCCATTAGTGAAAAAAATGTTCCCTGAGATGCTTCCAGGTCTCTTCTTTGTGCTGACTCGACCCCTTTGGTCCTCTCTGAGCATCTCCCACTAAGCTAACCTCTATTATATTCCATCTCCTTGTACAAGTCACTTTGACACAGTCAGTGGGACAGATAAATGAGAAAAGGGTCATGTATTAGATAAGCATTCAGGAAATAACAATAGGAACCTAAATTACTATCCTCAAGACTCCACATGAAAACCAAGAAAAGGGTCAGGAGTCAGCTAAATAAGAGACTATGCACACCTAAACAGAAACTACCACCTGCTCCATAATAGCAGTTGTCTAGGGACTGAATCTAGAGCTAAACACAGTTAAGCACTCTTCTGACCTATATGGTGCTATAAAGAGGCATAGACATTAGAAATTACCTCTGGAGAGGAGAGATCATTCCCAGGTAGTAGTGTTATAGCAAAAAACTTTAGAGCTGTGTTAGGAAAAATTACTGGAATTAGACATTAGGAAGGGGTAGAAGGGCCAGCCAAGCACAGGGACAAATGGCTTAAAAGCCATATCGTGACAGTTTCACTTTAATGATGAGTGATTTGCCTGAGGGATGAGATGGAGTCTGAATATCAGCCATTTTCTCTCATGCACAGCTGAGAAAGCCAAGCAAAAATGACTAAAAAGTTGGTCAAAGCTGTTCAGTAGAATGGCAGGATAAAAATGAAAATGGGCTGGTAGTTTTGGAAAAGGAAGAGAGTAAATGAGAAGCCTTTAGCTATTTAGAAAGCTGATAAGCCACAATCGGCTAAAGGTAATAGAAATGGAAGGTCATAAACAGGTGTAAAATAATGACTGGGTTAGCTGACCTCGGATAGGATATCATACGAGCAGGATTGCAAGAGTGAGGTGGTAAAGACCAGCAGTTTTCAACCTTTGAGTTTCAGCCCCTTTGGTTGAATGACCCTTTCACAGGGGTCACTAAGACCATGAGAAAAAACAGAAATTTACATGATGATTCCTAACAGTAGCAAAATTATAGTTAAGAAGTAGCAACAGAAATAATTTTATGGTTGGGGGTCATCACAGCATGAGGAACTGTATTAAAGGGTCATAGAATTGGGAAGGTTGAGAACTACTGGTATGGATTCTTTTACATTATTTTTTGTTTTGTTTTGTTTTTCATACCACTTTTAACTAAGAGATCTCTTTGTAAAAGACTGATCCATTCAGTTTATTTCCATCAAAAAAGAGGAGGGAGTGCTGAGCCCACACAGAACTGGAGCATCTGCTAAGTTAGCCTTAATGAACTGCCACATGGCCAAAGCTAGCAGAGAGATTTATGGAATGATCAATCAGGAAGTATCAACTAAATGGATAAAAGCAGCCATGAAAGAGCAGGACAGGAAGGCTAGAAGGGGAAAAAAGGGAAGTTTTATATTTTCAATCCCCTCTACTCTCAATGTATATTGATAACTTTCTCTTAACCACCAATGTATTATAGTTTACTTAAAAGGGAACACTTTATTTAAAAGGGAAAATGTATTAAGCTGTCCCTTTCTAATTTGCTATTTTAGGATTAGCTCATGCCACTGAGATCTGGTTCCTAGACAGAGCATTATACTGGCATTTTCTCACAGATACCTTCACGGCCTACTACCGCCTGCTCATCACCCACTTGGGCCTGCCCCAGTGGCAGTATGCCTTCACCCGCTATGGCATTAGCCCACAGGCTAAGGTAAGCAGAGTAATCCTACCATCTCACAATCTGATGTCCTGAGTCTTGTATGGAAATGGTTACATTCCAAATTTCCCCGCTGCAGTAAACAAAAAAAAAAAAAAAAAAAAAGTAGAACCTGTATTTTTAATAAACAGGATAGCTTCACATGATTTGGATCTAATTAAGTAATCAGGATCCACTGGGGTGTTATTTATAATTAAATGTCACTGAGGACTTGGGTCAAGTCAATGTTTGTTTTTGGATTGACAGCCAAAAGTTAGGCACTTAGCAGGATTGATAACTCTCTAATTTCCCTCTGCTCTACATCCCCATTGGCACAGTTGTCAGTGTATATGTCCTTCTTGTAAGGCACTAATAGCATTTTTTCTTTGTATCTTTTTGCCAACACATACGTAGCAATTTTGCACTTTCATATTTTTCATTTAGCACTCCATTGTGAAGGTCTTTCCATATCACTACCCATAGAGCTGTCTTCTCCTGTGTGTCACAGATTTGGGCATCATTTCAGAGCTGCCTTGAAAACACCAACTGGTCTGGTCTAAAGAGAAGTCATAGTGATTTCTTATAGCGCTTAATCAACGAGAAATTGGGAACTACATTCCACTGTAGCTTTACTAGATGCCCTCATTCTTCTCACATTTTTATAAAAACAGCTTCCATGTTCCATGAAGTTGTTTTGATCACACGATGGCAAAAAAGTGTGGCTGTCCTCCTGCCCACCCCATCACTTTCTAAGCAATTGCAGGCATAGAGTACCAGCACACAGCTTCCCTTAGGAAAATCTGCGCTGGCCTCTATTCCAATACCTGGAGGGATGGTGCTCTGGATATCCATAATGGGCACCATCTGCTGTAATGGCAAGCAGGAAGACAATGTTCTAAGATGCCAAAAAGTATACTTGACTTCTTAGTTCTCAAAGGTCATTTATTTTAGAGGCACTATATGAGCTTTACTAAGGGATGATGAGGTCATTCATCACTTAATGTTAAGTGAAGAACTCATAGATTTTCAAGGCAGTTTTTCATTAAAATGTGTATAAATTGAGTATTACATCACTAGAATGTACCAAAATTGTACTGGACCAGAAATGTTTTAGATTTCATAGCTTTTTGATTCTTAAAATTATCACATGCGCTTTACTAGTTGACCACTCAAAAACAAACAACAAAAACCCTGTGTGTTAGTGATGGTCAATTTGTGATGTCTGTCCTGTCTATTTGCCCATTTTTCCTTCAAACTGTGACTCTCCCTTGTGCCTTACAGCAATGGTTCAGCATGTACAAACCCATCACCTACAACACAAACCTACTCACAGAAGAGCCTGACGCCTTTGTGAACAAGCTGGACCCCAGCAAAGTGTTCAAGAGCAAGAACAAGATCCTAATCCCCAAAAAGAAAGGGCCTGTGCAGCCTGCCACTGGCCAGAAGGGGCCTGGGCCCTTACCTACTCCTACCACTAAGCCTTCCTCAGGCTCTGGAAATCCTGTCCGAAAATAAGCATTCCATCAACCTCACAGTGGTAATAGCAGATGCACAGATGCCCTGGGATGGCCTGACCCTTAAACACTTTGTGACTGTAGACACTCTCCTGAGTGACCAAAGCCTTGGGCCTTTACTCCCACAATCATTTGGAAGGAGTTGGGAAGACCGCACTGAATTCTCCCCCAGGGTCCTTTCCTCTGTAGTTTGTGCCAACCCTGTCTCCAAAACCAGCTAAAACTTTCAGATGTACCTAGAGCTTTCTTATGTCTGTAACCAGTCCTTAATTTGTTAGCAATAATTAGAGAAGTGCACCCCAAATAAATCCATGGCTTGATTCATGAAGCATCAGTAACAACTAGTCATGTGACCACCTCAGTTATGAAAATTTCACACCCTCAGTTACATCAGCCACATTTCTAGAATACACATGACAGTGGATTTGATATTGGACAGCACAGAGGTGGGAATATTTTCTGTCATACAAGAGTTTTAGATGGAATTCATGCAGACATTTTCATACTGTTCTTCAGATGAGATAATGTTGATTCCTTAGTTTCATGGGCTGTATGCTTTGAGAAAACAGTTTCAAAGACACAGACTTGCGTTTTTTAACAACTTATACCACAAACACATCTCACTTGAGTCATTTTTTTTAAATCACCATAAAATACCATCAGTTTCCTATAAGGAGTATTGTTTCCGGCCTTGTATTAATATTTCTACATTTGCCAAAATCATCTTTTGCTGTATTTTATCTGTTATATCCCCGGGCATTTGTTTACAGATAAAGCCAGTCTGTTCTTAAGAATTTCTAGCTATTTTGTTTATTCACAGTTGGGAACTCTCTCTGCCAGCTTCGTCTAGTCTAAGCAATAGGCTGCCTAGAATAGTGTAAAATGCCAACAGGTCTTTGTAAGTAAGTGTCCTGTTCAAAGGTATTTTCTCATAGAAACATGATAGCAAGAGACACTGAGCCAACCCACAGATTTATCTTGTATCCAATATTAGGCAAATAACAATTTCTGTGAAGAAGGGCATTACTCTGACTTCTAGTGAAGAATATCTGATTCCTTCCTCTGCAGTCCTGGCAGTGGGCAGAAGTTACCCACCCAGCCCCAATGTTCTTGATGGCTGCGATTTTTGTGCTGCAGTTTTTGTACTGATATTCCAGAGGTAGAATAATGAGTTCTGAGGAGGGACAGACTGCACCCTCCATTTGCAATTGGCCAACTTATTCTTTCTTACCTTTCTATCACGGTGATTGTCTAGGTTTCTCTTTATGTTGCCTCTACCCACTAGTCCCTATTGTTCTCCACTGGTACTTCCCAACATCACTTTGAATATTTACTGAAAATTTAAAATTCTTGTTCTGGGGCTGGAAAGATAGCCTAGAAGTTGAGAGCATGCACTGCTCATGCAGAGGACCCAAGTTCACTTTCTAGTACTCTCGCCACCTGTAACTCCAATTCCAGGAGGCTCAGTGCCCTTTCTGGCCTCCACAGGCACCTATGCACACACATAAAGAAGGAATAAAAATATTTGAAAAAACTTTTCGTTTTTGTTGTTCACTATAAGGATACTTAGAAATGGGGTGGGATCATCAGCCTTCCACCTACCACTTTCCATTCCTTCAGGAAGACTAAGAAGAGTCAGTCATCAAGGATTATGAGAGACTCTGGCTTCATTTGCATTTTTTAATAGTTCAGATAGTGCAATGTAAGTGCTCCAGTGCATTTGGGAGTACATAGAGCTTCATGTTAGCAGTATATTCTGTTGTTTTAAAACATGCTGATATATAACTATAATTTAGCTTATGTTTCAACTTTGCAATTGTTCTGCCTCCATTTTCCCAATGCTGAAATCTGGGCATGTACCACCATGCCTGGCCACTTCTAATGGAAAAATGTTAAAAACAGCATCATTTATTATCTCTTGGTGAACATTACCTTTTGATCAGTTTGAAAACCAGCATTGTTCAATGTGGGGAAAAAAAAAAACATATGTTTAATGATGATGTAACTGTGTCAGGTCACCCTTAACACTAAATGAAACTATAGACACAAACTGACAGACCAGCATGCCAGAACCATATGTTCCCTTATTGGGAACTTGTGAGGGGGCAGGACATCTCCAGTCCATCTCTGAACCTAGGAGCAATACTGCATCTAGTTTCTCCTTTCTTGGGTCTCCAGAACAGGAGTACCAACCAGAATACAGACTTACTTCTATATGTCTCCAGATGACTAAAAACCAGTTCCCAGTACTGCTGATTTGGCTTTGGGGTTCAAGTGGGTAGGTGTTTGGTTCCCAGACACCAAATGTTGGGGTCTGAAAAACCAAAACAACCCAAGCAATCACAAGTCCAGCAAAGCCAGACCTTTATTTGAATTAGGCAGCAAAAACTGACCAGTCAAGAGACAACAGCACAAAATTGGGAACTGTGACTTTGAATGTTCATCGTAGTAAGTAAGTAGGCAAATAACAACATTTTATTGTGTTCAGGCTGCTACTGATCAGCCAGGGGTACAGAACAGCCTCAAGAGCTGAACTGCATCCCTGAAGAGAAATTGTACAGTAGTTTTAAAGTGAGGGGGAGCAGGACAGACTGTAGCACTGTCCAATCATATTTTGACATAAGGGGTTGAGCAAGGAAGTAAATATTGGTGACTGGGCCTTGTCTGGGTCACCTGTTTTCAGGATCCTTGACTCAGCTTTATTGTCAGGTCATCTCCTGAACTTCTGGCCCAGAATTCAGAATGATAAGGGAACAAAGGAGCGGGCAAGGTGCATATACTCAAGTCAGAACAGACAATACATTTATGACTTATGTCCCTCTACATTGTTTACTGGTTAACGACCAAACATGAAAGACCTGAAGTAGCAGGATAGGAGTTAGTTCTGGAGCCTGGGAACATGAACTCGCCAGCAAGATAGCTAGACTCGGGCAGCTGTCTCCTAACATAGCTTTAATGATGATGTGACTGTTGGCTCATCCCTAACTTAAGAAATCATTTAAACCTTTTAAATTATTCATTGCACCTGAGCACTTAAAAATGTGCAACAATTCAAGGAAAATCCAACAGTACTAGACCATCTGACTGCTGCTTTGTTAAGGTTAGAAGCAGTCACCTTCTCTCCGTGTAGTAGGTTAGTAGTAGTCACCTTCTCTCCGTGTAGTAGGTATCGTGTGGTTGGCATTTGTGGGACCCTTGAATACCTGCATTTGATTCAAATTATACAGCACAAATGAAGCACCAGAGGAACAGTGGAGACACACGCATCTCTGCTCCTGTGTACTCTCATTTGTCTCATCATAGAGAAAACACAAGGTCAGAATTAAGCAGAACAGTAAATTAAGTGTGAAGACCACCTGTATAGGTAGTCCTGTGTGATTGCATAGGCCACTTCCCCAGAGAAATGCCTCTTCTAAGAGAAAAGGGGCACTTGTAGCAAATAATTGCAACTGGTTAATTTTTAAGCTATATGTCTTGCCTTAGGTTTTAATAGTTGTTCTGGTAGTTATAATGCATTTACCTTTCTCAGTTCACTGCAGAAATTATTCACACAGAGTCCCTGGTAGCATCATTTGTTCAATGTAATTATGACAGCTTAGAGCTGAATGGATTACAGGTAGGTAGCAAACCATGTTGGCTATGCTCTTACTTTTGGAATGTGTTGATAAATTCCCTTCTTTGGCTTCAGTCTGCCCCACTAGATCCTGTTTTCCCAGCTGTATTAGTTACCTTCCTTTTGCTACAATAAAATACCATAACCAAAAGCAGCATGTAGAAGAAAGTATTTTTGGCTTACAGTTCCAAAGGGAGAGTCCATAATGGCAGGAGAGGCATCGCTGCCTTTGCAGCAGGCAACCAGAGCAGGAAGCTGAGCCATCATGTCTTCAGCTGCAAACATGCTGCCGAGAGAACTGGAAGCAGGATGAGGCTATACTGTATTACTCTCAAAGCCCATCCCTAGTAATGTGTTTCCTCCAGCAAGGCCTCCCCAAACACTATCACTGATCAGGGAACAAGTGCTCAAATAGGTGGGCCTGTGGCAAACACTAGCCAAGCATTCTCTTGTAAACCTACAGAGCCTCCATTATGTAAATGAGTTAGTGAATAGGGTTGGTGCTCAGAAAAGGGAGTTGCTTTTTTTTCCTGTCCTTCCTTTATAATGTGAGCCCGCTTTCTAGCTATTACTTTCTGCTAGCACCTGTGCTCTCCTAAGCCACTCAGTCTTTCCTTCCAAGACACCAGTTTGGTACTCTCTTGTGACTTTATACCTGTAGTTTCCTCCTATGGTTCAGTTCTGGTCCGCTTCTACCCAGAGCTTGATTAAGCCCCAGCTCACCTTAGGAGAGAACAGTATATGGCAGCACCTTTCACTGAACTTAGGCCATCTTACCTGTGTGGTTCCAGCGGATGTTGAGCAGTGGGATTTATGCTACTTTGGAAAGCCATCTTAATCATTATGGAGTCCCAAGAACCATTAATATATAAAATTTAAGGTTGGTGATACATAATTTTTGTATTAAGCCAAATGTGTCATATTTTAGGACAAATAAGAATGAGAAAAAATATGAAAATGCTTAACCTTTTAAAAATTGGGAAGACAGTAACTGCCTTATTTTAGAGTCTGGATACCTTTAGTTCAGTTTAGAGACTGAGTCAGAAAACCATGTCATAAAGAAATACATTACACATGAAGCCACGTGTGCCCCTAGTCTTTTATGCACCACATATTTTGTACTCAGAAGCCTTGCAAACTGGGCATCCCACCAAAGATGTCTTGATAAAGCTCAAAGAGACAAAAAGTAACTTATGAGATATGGCAGGATGTGCCACTTCTCCTGTGTCTAGGAAAAATTCAACATCGTTGATCCTCTGTTTCTTCAGATATAAAATGAAAACTTATGGAAGGGCTGTAAAGCTGTTAAATAATGCAAATCAAGTACACACATGGAGATGCTTTCAATAAGCAACAGCTTTTAAAAAAGCATTCAGAAAGTCCATTTTCTCCCCATGAATTACCTAACCAACAGAACCAATTGCTCTACCAGATGATTTTTGACAAAATTGATGATCTATTTTAATACATATCTTCACTCTCTATTTCAAAGCCATTAGCTTCCTTTTAAAATTGCAAAAGACATTTCGTTCTTTAAGCAATTTGTTACTGTTGTGGAGTAGTTATCGCTCTGATAAAACAATTTCTAATCAAAACTAGAAATAGCTATAGAATGGTAGATAACTGAAATTTAATTTGATGACAGACTCCCACAGCTTCTGTTATGCCTCCTAAGGAGAAGGATCATGGCTTTTCTTTTCCTAGCTGATTACCTAGCCCTGGCACACACTTAACTCCACAATTGGCCCTCAGTGCATATTTGTATGGTTGTACCTTTTTTTTTTTTTAGCTCTGCCATAACAAGTTACAACAAACTTGAAAGAACATAAATTTACCCTTTCATAGTTCTGGATCCCAGAAGTTCCATATCAGTTTAATAGGGCCAAAATTCAGTTCTCATTGGGGCTGTGCTTGGGAGGTTGTCCTGGAGAATCTCTCCCTGCTTTCTCCAGCAGATCTTGGTTTGGGTGCATGTCATTTCAATCCTTGCTGCTCTCACTTTGCCTTCTCTTCTGTGTTTCTGAAATCACTTCTGGCTCACTCTTTTTTTTTTTTGCATTTAAATTTTGTTTTGTTTTGTTTTAATTTTTATTAATTATACTTTATTCACTTTGTATCCCCCATAAACCCTTCCCTCCCTCCCTCCTAATCCTACCTTCACTCCCCCTTCTCCATGCATGCCCCTCTCCAAGTCTGCTGATAGGGGAGGTCTTCCTCTCCTTCCTTCTGATTCTAGTCTATCAGGTCTCATCAGGAGTGGCTGCATTGTCATCTTCTGTGGCCTGGTAAGGCTGCTCCCCCCTCAGGGGGAGGTGATCAAAGAGCAGGCCAATCAGTTCATGTAAGAGGCATGTTCCGTTACCGTTCCCATTACTATGGAACCCACTTGGACACTGAACTGCCATGGGCTACATCTGTGCAAGGGTTCTAGGTTATCTCCATGCCTGGTATTTGGTTGGAGTATAAGTCTCTGGGAAGACCCCTGTGTTCAAATTTTCTGGTTCTGTTGCTCTCCTTGTGGGGTTCCTGTCCTCTCCAGATCTTACTATTTCCCACTTCTTACATAAGATTCCATGCATACTGCCCACCAGTTGGCCATAAGTCTCAGTGTCTGCTTTGATAGTCTGCAGGGCAGAGCCTTTCAGAGGCCCTCTGTGGCAGGTTCTTAGCTTGTTTCCTGTTTTCTTCTTCTTCTGATGTCCATCCTCTTTGCCTTTCGGGTTGGGGATTGAGCATTTTAGCCAGAGTCCTTCCCCTTTGATTAGTTTCTTTAGGTGTACAAATTTTATATATATATAAGGACACTTGTAATTGCATTTGAGGCATACTGAACACTGTAGAATGATCTGCCCATACCTACAAAGGATCCTCCTTATAAAGGAATTTTAGATTTCCGAGGTTAGTACCTGAGGCCC